GCTTCTTGGTTTACCCAGGTTGTTCCACTTCCCTTCCACTGATTGTAGAGAGGAGGCTCCAGGATATAACCTGGCAAGTAGAACTGTGGCCCCACACTGAGCCTCAGGGTATACCACAGCCAGGGTATACTAGATTTTGAGTTATAGCTGAATAGGCAGACATGAGCCTAGATAAAGACAGTAAACCTCATACAAAGAGTGGCAAGTTATTTTGTGGGTTGGAACCAGAATGACAGGATGGAGAAATACTGCAGCATTAATGTGTATTGTATGGGGAATGGTTGCTCAAGAGCTGATTGGCACCCAAGAAAAGACCCACTGAGTCCAACAGGTGTTGAAAGCCCAGAGCCGCAGATGGTGAAGTGGGGCAGATAATGAAGCCTGAGTCAGGCTTCCCAGGGTTCCCTTCATGGGTATAAACGTAATGCCACTGCTGTGAAATAATTTTGTGTCTTTTATAGAACAAAAGTCCAGTGGCACCTTAAACTCTAACACCTGCCATTTACTGTAGTTAACTTGAAAGGCTGTCATATAGAGGATAGAGCAGAGTTGTTTTCTGGGCACACCAGAACCGACGGGTTGAAATTAAATCAGAAGAGTTTTCGGCTAAACATTAGGAAGAACTTCCTGACAGAGTGGTTCCTCAGTGGAACAGGCTTCCTCGGGAGATGGTGGGCTCTCCTTCTTTGGAGGTTTTCATACAGAGGCTAGATGGCCATCTGTCAGCAATGCTGATTGTGTGAACTTAGGCAGATCATGAGAGGGAGGGCAGGAAGGGTTGCCTCAGTGCTTAGTTCTTGTGGCCCTTCTTACACGCCCAGGGAAATGCTGATCACCACTTTGGGGCCAGGAAGCAATTTTTCTCCAGACCAGTTTGGCTGGAGATCCTGGAGATATTTTTGTCATCTTCTGGGTTTGGAACAGAGGTCACTGGGGGAGATATTTCTGAATTTCCTGCATTGTGCAGCAGGGGGTTGGACTAGATGACCCTGGAGGTCCCTTGCAGCTCTATGATTCTAAGAATCCCCAGGTACAGTAAAGGGCAAGAGATTCAGGTTGCGGCTGATAAGAACATAAGAACATAAGAGATGCCATTGTTGGATCAGGCCAAAGGCCCATCCAGTCCAACACTCTGTATCACACAGTGGCCAGAAATACCACTGCAATCAGGAGGTCCACCAGTGGGGCCAGGACATTAGAAGCCCTCCCACTGTTGACCCCCCCAAGCACCAAGATGACAGAGCATCCCTTGCCCCAGAGTCCCTATCTATACCTTGTGGCTAATAGCCACTGATGGACCTCTGCTCTGATCAGGTGCCATAAAAGCAAGAGATAATAAAAAAATGAAACTCAAAAGCACCAATTCATACCAAGCACTGACTCCTTCCACCCCACTTCCCCAAAACATTTCCCAGTACAATTTTCCCTTCCCTGTCTAATAGGGATGCAAGGCTCTGCTGCTGGTGCGTGGCTTATGGTATAAGAGATACAACTGGGAACGGTAATATAAGGACCATTAGCATGGCAGAAGTGTTTACAGTGAAAAGTAATAGCCAACTTTATCACAAAGAGTGGTGGAAAATATTTCTTCATTGTAGATGTCTTATGAATCTAAGTTATGAATCAGGATGGGAAGTGATAACAGAACAAAAAGTTCTTTTTTTTCCTTGTGTGTCTTGGATTGTTTCTGTGGAATTTTAAAAATATTGCACTTGACGAATTGTGGGACTCACTCGGAAAAATTAGTTCTTTTTCTATGTTAACTGTACAGTGAAGTAATGTAGCAAAGGGCTTTTCCAGCAAAAGTTAAGCATTTCACCATGCATCCACAAGGTGACGATCTTTCTGTGTTGCTTTCATGCATCCAAGAAAGCAAAATTCTGTATGAGTTTTCTTTACTAGAGTATGCAAACGGATTAAATGGGAAAGGGAGTGGTTAAAGAAGAAAGGGTAGAGTCAAAGGGGAAGGGCCAAATGGGAGGAAGAGTTGTTACAGGAAGGGGCTGTACCAAAACGGAAAGGCCCATGAAAACCCAGCAGCACCCCAGAGAAAGCCCCATGGCATAGTACAGTTGGCATACACTAAGTCCTGACACAAAGACCCATAGCCTACCTGCTTGGTCCTTGACAAAAAGCCCAACGGCTGTACAGAGCAGCAGAGCTGGACCTTTACAGAAAGCTTCAAAATCTACTAGAGCCAGCATGCAGGAAAACTACCTGCTTCACTGTCTTGGGTTGCAGTCTTGCCGGATGTCACTCATCATGGAGAACAGAGGGTTTGCTACTTAGTGTGTGGGCAGGACAATGATTCCAGAGCCACTTTGACCGTGTCCTGCCGTACCTGACCTTTAAGTCAAATGGTTCCTGAAGGGTTTTTTGAGGGGGAGCTCTGTCAGATAGTGCTTCAGCTGCGGGCTCAGCACTTTCTTGCTAATTCTGACTGTTGCCTCCATGTGGTCTGTGCCCTGTTAGCTTGCTCTGGGGTTGCACCACACCAGACAATATAGCTGCAGTGCTGCTGGGGTGATGATGATTCTGCTTAGCACTTCTCATGTTCCCAGACACCGAACTGATTTTGAGCAAATGCAAAGTAACATCTCCCCTTATAAGTACTACTTTTGCACCAATGATAGAATGAATGGAAGAGGAGAGGAGGAGATTGGATTTATACCCCGCCCTTCACTCTGAGTCTCAGAGTGGCTCACTATCTCCTTCCCCTCCCCTCCCCACAACAGACGCCTTGTGAGGTAGGTGGGGCTGAGAGAGCTCTGACAGAAACTGCTCTTTTCAAGAACACCTCTGACAGAACTATGGGTTGCCCAAGGTCACCAGCAGCCGCATGTGGAGGAGAGGGGAATCAAACTCGGTTCTCCAGATTAGAGTCCATGCTCCTAACCAATGTTCCCTCTAAGCTGTGGAGTCTTGTGAGCAAAAATCCTACTTTGTGAGCTACTGGCATTGAAGTTGTGAGCCAGCGATTTGGCTGCTGCATAAATTAGTTCGCTCTGGAGCCATCCTTCCTGAGCTGAGACAAAAATGTGTGAGCCAGAGGCTAAAAAACTATGAGCTAGCTGACACTAATTCAGCTTAGAGGGAACACTGCTCCTAACCACTAAACCAAACTGGCTATCATGTTTTCGTGAAATAAATTGTACATGGGTTTTGAGTAGAGAGCAAACCAGAGAAAATTGTAAGACAGTAATACAATACTAAGGGGGTCCATGCTACGTATGGAAAAATCCTTTTAAGAGATATTTTCCACGTTGTAACTTTTTCCAGCTAGTTGGTCCACCACGTCTGGCATCCAGTCTCTGAGCATCAAAACAAACTTCTGGCTCCAGTAAGGATAGATAACTTCCCGATGTCTCAACACACCTCCCTGCACTATCTTCTGGGCACACTCTTCTTTGGAACTTGGCACCAGGGTCATTTTGTTGCCGACTTCTCTCATGGCAGTCTCTACAGGAAACAGCAGGAGCTTGACGTCAAGTTCATGGAGATGGAGGATGGAGGATCAGGTGGCCATGGAAGAGAAGCTCAAGTGAGGCTTACCTGTGTCAATGTAACCCAGAACAGCAACTGTGACGGCCAGATTGATCTTCCGAAGACGCATCTCACTGCGAAGTCCACTGTAGAAGCCTTCTACTGCAAATTTGGCAGCAGAGTACTCAGTGATGAATGGGGACCCAATACGGCCTGAGAAAGATAGAGAACATTAGTCTGGAAGGTTGTGGGATCTCTTTCTTTGGCAATGAGAGCCTTACAGCCTGATCCTGTGCATGTAGACTGGGAAGAACATCCTTCTGTCAATAAGATTTTATTGTCATTAAGCATATCTGGGATGGCAGGCTCAATTGTGATGTTAGGAAATGAAGCATCCCTTCAGTCCAGTCCAGGATTAAAAGTGATTTCATGCCAGCATCATGTATCTGGCAGACCCTAGATTATAGAAGATTTGCAGCTCTTAGTTCCCAGGCTGAACAGTGTTAGGAGGAGGGAAGAATTGCCACAGTTCAAGCACGTTGAGCTTGGACATGAGAACATTAGAGATACCCCTTGATCTTTCACAGCTTTGCCAATAGGTTGGACTCCATCCCAGCGGAGTCAGTAAAATGGGACTGATTCTGCTATGATCAAAGAGGAAAAAGCTGATTCATAGATCTTTGGAAATAGGTTGACAGTTAGTACATTGTAGTGGCTAAGAGTAGGAACTGGGAAGGCCCTCCTTAAAATCTCGGTTCAAGTGCAAACTCACCAAGTAGCTTGAGGCAGACTTGTCCTAAATCCCTCCTGCATTACAGGCATAATAATTATGACCTCCTTTACAGCCAGGCTGGTGCAGAGTGTTGGATTAGGACCAGGGAGTTCCAAGTTCAAAGAGCCACACAGCCATCAGACTTGCTGGATGACCCTGGGCCAATCACCTCTCTATCTAACTACTCAGGGGTCATTTCGTAGAAAAAGAGCTAGGGGAACTCATTAGCATAACTCATTAGTATATGCCACACCCCCTGACATCACCGGAAGTGTGTCATAAGGCTACACCCCCTGACATCACCGGAAGTGTATCATAAGGCTACACCCCCTGAAATCACCGGAAGTGTGTCATAAGGCCACACACCCCGCCCCCAACGGTCCCGGCTGCCGGCGGCGGCCTTGCAGCTCCAGGGTTGTTGTGCAGATTGAAAGGGAGAGAGGAGAATGATGTGAGCTGCTTTGGTCCCCACTGCAGAGAAAGACTGTACTCTTCCTAGGTAGAGGCTGCAGGGAGGGGGGAGGAGATGGAAAGCTGAAGTCAGAGGGGCAGTTAAAGGTAGGTTGATGGCTAGCTGGGAAGGAGATTGGGTTGTCACCTCCAGGTTGGGAAATTCCTGGAAATTTGAGGAGGGGAGCCTGGAGATGGTGGGGTCTGAGGAGCAGTGGGACCTCAGACAGGTACAATGCCATAGATTCCACCCTCCAAGCCAGCCATTTCCTGCTGGGGAACCATTGTTGCCAATCTCCAGGTAAGGGCTGGCGATCACTCAGAATTACAACTGCTCTTCAGGTGGCATAGATAAGTCCCCCTGGAGAAAACGGTAGATTCTGTGTCATTATACCCTGCTGAGGTCACCACCACAGCAAATTGACACTCAGTGCCCAAGGCCAGGGCACCCACCCAGAGCCTCTTTCTAGATCTTGTTGCATTTCTTTCCACAGTGGGCCTTATTCCTAGTATTTTTATATTCCCTGCCTGTTTAATAAAATCCTTATTCTGTTTTGAAAGTTAATTTTGCCTCATGTGCCATTTCATGAGGGTATTTTAAAACAAGACAGCTCCTGTATTCCCTCTAGCTCCTGTGCTGGGTCGTAAGTCTAAACTAATATCTATGACAAAATAGGACAGTTAAAGCTTATAACATAAAATAAAGAAGAAATACATGCTACTGAAGGATGGCTCAGTCACTGAGGGGAACTAAAAATATTTTTGGCGGGAAAATCTGCCTGGGAGTGGGGAAACATCAGGGTCTGTCATACTTGCCCTGGGACATTTGTCTATATTCCCACTGGACTGAGAGTTGGCTCCATCCACTATGGAAAGTAGACTACTGGGTAGAGGGGCTGGTTTGACCTCTCTGCTGGGGATGGCGATGGCCTTTAAAAATTTGACACATCTAAGGATGGGTCTATCAAAAGGTATTACCCATTATAGCATAATAGAACTTCCATGTTCAGAAATTGACCAGATGGTGGTGAAAATGAATGGTAGAGCACCACTGCTTTCATGCCCAGCTTGTGAGCTCCCAAAGACATCTGGATGCTATTGTTAGAAACAGTATGCTGGACTAGGTGGACCTCACTCATCCATTAAGCTTTTATAAAAGCTGAAGTTGAAAAGTGAGAGAGGTTCTAACTTGTTGGCAATGCCAAACTGTTGGCCTCATAAGGAAGTGAATGGCATTAAAGACATTTCCTCCTCTACCAGACATGGAAGATAAAACGATGATGCTCCCTTCAGACTCTTGCAACATATGTAGCGCCAAAGATGTTAGGTGGACATAGCTGAGGAAATTGATAGTCATGGAGCTCTTCACAATTTCCATATTTCCTTTGAATCGATGAAACCCAACATCTCCTCCAGCATGGTTCAGTACTAGGAAGTCAAGGCCTCCTGAAAGAAAAAAAACACAGAGGGAAGAAGATCCACACCAGCTCTTGGACTAGGATGGACAGATGACATTTTCTATCAATATCAAGCTACATGCCATATCTTTCAATCTCCTTTAGCTGAGCCCTGTCCTTTCACTACACAGGTAAAATATTTGTCCCTACATAGTAAAAAATGGGATGCTCACAACTACCTAGCTATTTATTTATTTATTTTATTCGATTTAGACCCCGCCCTCCCTACCAAGGCAAGCTCAGGGCAGCTTACACAAATGCATAAAAGTACAATTAAAATCCATCATAAAATTAATCATACCAAAACAGGTTGGTTATCCTAAAATCCATTTATTTGCCAGTAGTGACTGGCCCTGTAAAGAACACTTGGCAGTACTGAGGAGAAGAATGTGGAATTACAGATCTTCAAAGGATTAGAACAATATCTGGAATGGAGAATGGAGCAGAACCTTCAGGAGGGTCAAAGCAGAATGAAGTAGGGAACATAAACTTGGCACCGGAAGTTCCGCATGGAGGAGGCTGAAGAAATGGGCTGGGCAGTTTTTTCCAAAGAAGGCTGGAGCAGAGATATAAGGTAGCAGCACACAGAAGGGTGGACAGATGGACAAGGAAGCTGGAAGGGAGGCAGGCAGTCAAGCGGACCTGAAGCTCACCAGGCACCTGCCAGTTAGAGAAGGCAAGAATTTGTTCCCTATCAAGCCTGACACTTGGGTTTTTAGACAGGCCAGATTAGGGAAGGGGTACAAAGGTGGGCAGGGTCAACAGCAGGGAGCCTATGGTGGTGTTGTCTTCACTAGTGTGTCTGTCAGACTGAGATCCTTCCATGTCAGATGTGGCCCGTCTCATGGGAACCAGGCAACAAGGGCAAATGGTGGTGGAGGATGATGTGCTTGGGGAAGTCTACTGGGTGCCATCTTGCCTTCCTCCTCTGCTGGTGCCACCACCACTGTCTTTCTCTAGTCTCCTGCTCTGCTGTGTTATGGCACAGCCTTCAGGGTGAACATCTGCCTTCCCTCCCTCAGCCACGACTCTACTCACAGTGGGGACTCGGCTGCTCAAGGCGAGAGGAGAATGAGCCTGGTGATCGCGGTAACAGTGGGGGTGGCATTTCATTCCTCTCAGCTACTAACTGATGCTGTTTAGTTTCAACAGTGGCAGCAGGTAAATAAAGCGGATGTTCCTGAAGCAACAACAGAAAGCGGAAGATGGACCTGAGAAAGTGGAGAACAAAGACACAGAAGAAGAAGAAGAAGAAGAAGAGAAAGATGGGGAAGGCTGCGATACCATCTCGAAGAGTCTGGCAAAACTCTCTAATCCTGAAGCAGAACTAAAAATTAATTTGGACTTTGATAAGAGGAAAGGAAATTGCAAAGTAGTTAAACTTTGACAGCCTGTTGTTTATTTTAACGCATCAATTCTATGATATTCACACCTTAGTTAAAGAGATTGTGATTGCTTGCTTGACATTTTTGCATTAGTAATCTTCACGTTCTACTACAATGATAACAGAGACATATCAATAACTTTATATGTCTGTATTATGGATCCTTGTTACTCTTCCATTACCCTGACCCTGTAGTTTTGTAGATTAGAAAATAAAAAAATTTAAAAGACAAAAAACAAAACAAAACAGTGGCAGCAGGTTTAGGTCTAATGAGACATGGAGGCACATGTCTCTCCCTGCTACTCTGCATGTGGAAAATGTAACATCTAGTTTGATTCTGTGAAAAATGCAGTTTAGAGAAAAGCTCTGAGTGGTGGCAGCAGAAAAAAGTAAAGGTAAACAGTAGACTAGGGATCAGTGCAGCTGTTCTGCTGGATCTGCTAAGTAAGTAAGATCATTAGAGGAAGGAGGTGGTGCCACTAGCCAATACGCCACAAGAACCCTCCCTTGGCTATGCATTTCTGGGGGAAAGGGCACTTCAGCCCCTTCCTGCACCAGACAAGACAGGACAAAGTCCTGATGCAGAAAAGGAAGATTCTACCAAACCAGTTATTCTTTAGAGGAAGAGGATGGGACAAAGAGGTCAAAGATCTGTTTGCTTGTGTTGCAGGAGGTATTCGTGGTCTTCAGCCTTGTCTTGGGGGGCACCTCTCTAAGCAGGAATTAAAAGGCTTCAGCATTTACCCAGTTTGCTCTTGGTTTCTTCAATGACCTTCTGGGGAGAAGTAAAATTACTCATGTCAGCCGCAACGTACCCTGCAGAGCTGGCCCCCAACTCCAGACACTTCTGGACCACCTGGAGAGGAAAAGAACTGAAATACAGGTTTGCTGGATAATCACAATGTGAAGCTATTTTGGTAGTCCCTAAGCAAAGAAGTGTAAGATTGCAGGGGATGCTG